GGGGGCGAATGAGACAGTCTGGGTACGTTTAAGTTGCGTTTTCTCTTTACCCGTACCTGAAAGTCTTGCATCCTTCCAAAAGTGCCAACAATTTCACCTAAGTGCTCAGAGCTCTTATTTCCGTGGCTTTTTTACGAAGCTAATATGTCTTCATGAATGTGGTTTTTCCCTAGAATCTTCGAAACTGATACAAACGGTTAAACGTTCGTTTTTCGTTTCGGTCTGAAAGAAGGTCTTCGGTTGAAATTTTCCCTCTCCCCTCTTTTCACCTGTTCTCTCCTCACTGTTAAATCCTTCATTTACCAGGCAATCTACTAACTCGCAGATGCCATAAATCTGAGAAGTCGAGAAATTAATTGGTCTGTAATTGAAAGCGATTTTTCCACGTCTTCTATGTTCCTATTTAGTTCTGCGCTTGGCACTCTAAAACTTCTACTTCTTTTTTCAATTTTACCTTTATTGACTTCTCAAATAATAGCGAACCGTAATTTCGGAGGTCCGGTGTGGGAGTTTCGCAGGCAAAAAATAAAACTTTCTTGAAGATTCTAAAAAGGAGAAGAGAAGGCCATAAGGCCGCCTTCCGAGCAGAATTCAAAATTAATGTAGTCCTACCCAAAAGTGAAGCGACTCTAGTCAGTACATTTTGGTTTTTTTTTAAACGACAGGTGGCTGCCTATGAGGCACGAGGTGATTCTGTGTGGATAAAACGGCCATGTATGTAAAAATGGATTGTTTTGTGACTGTGAGACATCCAAGCACTCCATGAACTCTAGCAGTAGTACTCATGAAGAAGAAGAAGAAGAAGAGGCACTAAAATAATAGTATCCTCTTTCGGGAGTGAATTACTTCGTACTAGAAGTTGAATGGGTAACCGGTATGAGTCGCCAGTTGTCTAGAACTTTCGCACGTGCTCAAAGGAATGTGAACAAAGGAAATGTGTCAGAAAAAGAGTGTAATAGTTTTACGATTAAACACTACTTAGCGAACTGCTTTCGATCCAAATTATTTATTCTGAAAGTCAACCTTCCGCTTCCGAGCACACTATTTACTATTGAGAAGAAAGAATATCTATCTCCGTAAAGGAAGATGACACACAATTAATCAAAAGAAGAAAAAATACGAAATAAGAAATGAAGAAGTAAAACAGGCACGGCTCTATATCAACTCCTAATCCGCTTGCTGTGGATGCCTCATCGTCTGATGATGCTTTTCAACGCGACTGTTATCAAGAAGTCTTTGTGTTATCTCGCTTTTTATTCACCCTTAAACGACGCGCTCATTCACTTTAAGACGCCAGCTACACGCATCATCACAAACTTTCAGGGAACACGCAACTAAATAAAAATAAACGAGTCACAAACGGACACAATAATATAAGTTAGGCGAAACAACTTTAAAGCTTTCTAAAGTTGGGGTGTGTTCGTTGAAACCTTTCCTTCGGCTACTTTAGTTTAGTCTGTTGTTTTTGCCTGATTTTATCTGAGTACGTTTGCAAGAATTGAACAGAACGGTATAATGACTTTTTATGATCATTTTGCTTTGTACATTTTCCAAGCTGCTTAAACACCCTTGTAGGTTTGATTGTGATGCCCAATCGAACAGCACTTCGACGGGTGAGTCTATGGCCATACAAGCAGCAAAGAACGAATTTCCGTTGGCAAAATGCAATGACGATATTATGCTACAAAGAAACGTACAGTTCAAGCAGTTAGTGATGTGTAACTTTGAGGTCTAAGAAGAACACACTTGAGAACCTTGACTGACTTTGCTTGTGTTTTTCTTCTCGTTCTAGGACCAGGCCATGAGTATACGACAGTGTTAGTAGGAGACATCTGCGAGCGGGTACCTCAACCCGCCACTGACCACGTAAAAGATGGCCTCTTCCAAAAGGATTATGGGAGGCGTTACTGCTCTGCATTTGGCAGCTTTTTTGGCTGGAATTGCTCTTGTTTTGGTAAGTAAATAATAATAGAAATAATAGACTTAATAGATATGTTAACTTTCTCTAAAGTTTTAATTAGGGTAATCGTTTTGTTTGTGTAATTTTCATCTGAGCTGTTTTGGGTTAGTTCCTCGTTTTTCTGCCTATAATCATTATCTTAAGAAAAACAGAAGGATAAAAAACTTGACCTCGCGGTATTCACCAACTATGGAAGTGATCATCCATGAGTCATGGTGTAATGATATCTCGAACCACTGCCATTTGTAACGTTGCGTGGCACGACCTCCAAAAAGGAAACGTTGTCTTGACAACAACATCATTACTTTACCTTACTGAAATCCTGACCTGATGTTGAAGATAATCAAAGTTTGTCTATTCGGGTGGTTGGCCGGTGTTCGGGTGTGGTTTGCTCGTTCTTTCCTATCAAACATCTTGTTCAGTTATTATGTTTTCTCCTACTCTTATTTATATGCTATTCTCTTGTCACAGCTATAACTTTCGGCCTTTAAAAGACCTATTAATTTTGCAAGTGCCGTAAAACTCTTTAGTAAAACTAAACTCAACGTTTATCCATGTACACGTGAGTACCGTGTTGGACCAGCGTGTGCATAATTTGTGGTCCGACACGGTGGAATCAGACGCCGGTAAATTATCTTGGCATATTGTGGATTCTTAAAATCATCTTAAAGTTTGTTCATTTGTCCTACTTTTGAAGAAAAAACTGCACCTATCTTGAATAGCAGTCAAGATAGTAGCCATTGAAGGGGCGAAAGGTGGTTTGGGGGGGGGGGGGGGCC